CCAAAATAGTCGGAAAATCGTCCCCAGACTGTTTCTTATATTTTTGAATACTCCTCCTGTAGAGGGGCATGCCCGACTTAAGCCTTCGTCGGAGCAAGAGAGCGCCCCAAACTGGGGACCTGAATCGCTCTGAGACGCCAAAGACGGCCTCCAGTCGAAAGAACAAGCGCCTAAGAAGTCCCAAGAGGTCTGCAGAAGTTCCCAAGAGGGCCCCGAGAGGCAAACATCATTGACTTGACGTAGGTGTTTCAATGTTTTTGAGGCTCTCCCCTTCTCGAGCTCCCAACGCTCCAGGCCGGCCCAAGAGGAGCCCAAGACGGCCCCAAGAGTGGCGCGAGAGGGGGAAAATACGAACCGAAACTCCGAGCGCCAATGGGCGCCCTTGACCCGCGTCTGCGAGCGCCCGCACTGTGCCCACGAGCGCACGCGCGCGCGCGCCGAACGTGCCTCCTCCAGGAGAAGGAGGCGGAGGCGGAGGCGGAGGGGGAGGAGGAGGAGGAGGAGGAGGAGGAGGAGGAGGAGGAGGAGGAGGGAAAAAGAGGAAGGAGGAGGAGAGGAGGAGGAGGAGGAGGAGGAGGAGGAGGAGAGGGAGGAGGAGGACCACCGCACGAGCCGACTGCCCGCCGTGGGCCGAGCGGGAGGCATCGGCCGACGCGGCACGGGTGCTCCACTGAAAGGCACGTCGGCAGCGTGCCGGCCGGCGGAGCAGAGAGCGGTACATTAGATTGAAGATCGGGGGGCGTGGAGGGGGGACCTGCCCCTCGCCGTCAAGGCCAGGAGGGAGGGAGGGGGGCGAGGTGAGGGGAGGAGGAAGGGCGGGGAGGGGGAGGGGGAGGGGCGGGGGAGGGGGTGGGAGGGGGGGTTTTAGCCAACCAGGTCGAGAGAGAGACGGCGGGACCCGCCAATTCCTACCCTCCAGTCCATGGCATCAGAATCAGTGGTGGCACAACTTGGGGAGGAGTGTGAGGGAGATAGGGGGAGGGCGAGAAGGGAGAGGAGGGGAGGGGGGCGGGATGAAGAGGAGGAGGCGGGCAGCGGGTGGGAGAACGAGAGGTTGAAGGGGAGCGGGATGGAGGGGGAGGGAGGGAGGACGGCAAGGGTAAGATACCCCGTCAAACCCCCCGAGAGGAGCCCCGGGACAAGGCAACCTGAACAACACTCAGAGGATCCCTCTGGAAAAGCCTCCTCGCCCGCTGGCGTCGGGCGGCTGACCCGTGCAGGAGCTCGCCCTCGCACTGGGGCTCGCGGAAGCTACGGAGGGACCCGGAAGGGACCGGAGAGAGCCGGAAGGAAGAGAGGGATCCGGAAGGGACCGGAGAGAGCCGGAAGGAAGAGCAAGCCAGCACTGCAAGGGAAGCCGCCCAAGTGGGGCCAGGGTCAGAGGATCGCACCGCACCGCCGACGCGTCGGCGATGCATCGGCGACGCATCGGCGATGTTGAAACGGAGAGAATCGGGCTGAGCTCTAGATCGCGCCGATCTGCCGATGCCTCGGCAGAGCATCGGCGGTGCCGAGACGGAGAAAAGCCAGGCCGAGCTCCGTGTCGCGAGCCGATCTGCGCCAAAGCATCGGCGCATCGGTGCAACCCTCGGATCCGCCCGACCGGGCCCCCGAGTGGGCGGCCTGGGCGCTGCTCAGGATAGGAGGAGGAGGAAGGAGGAGGAAGAAGAGTACACCCTGCGAAATGCTTAAGAAATCATGGGTTAAGAAATTCATAGTCTCAGAACTTGAATAAAAACCCCAACATTTCCATTCAAATCTTAGGAGTTGCATTGAAACATTAAGAATAATCGAGACTCTGGCCGAAAACTTAGGTTTTCTTAAGCATCGCCCAAGGTGTAGCATGAAGTCGGGCATGTCCCTCTACAGGAGGACGATTCACAAATAGTCCAGGAACAGTCTGGGAACGATCGTTTGGGGTGTGTTTGAATATGGTTTTTGACGACCGCAGGAGGACACGCCCGACCTGAGAGTAGTAGCGGCGGCAGGATGGTGTACTCTGAGCCAAAGAGGAGTCAGGGAGAAGGCTGCCCGTCGCAGGGAGGAGCGCAAGCGGCTCAGCGGAACACCTGCTTGAGGGCCGCCACCTCAGCGGCACGCGCGCTCGTGAAGCCGAAGCGCTTCGACACTGGCCAGCCTGGCCCCCGCAGCCAGCTGGTCATGGCGTCCTCTCGAGGCTCCAGGCTCAAGTGCCAGACGGCCCGCTCTGTCGACCAGGAGGGCGCCAGCCTTGCACTCACGCCAGTCCTGGCTGGGCCAATGCCACGCCCAGGACTGGCGCACCACACCGCTCTCGGGCCCGGGGTCGGCCTGGCCTGGGTCGGTCACTGCGCATCAGAATGCTGACCGCTGCCCGATTACACTCTCTCAATTGCTTGTTCAGGATGGTTATACTCTACGGATGCAAGGCGTTCCACCCACCATCTGCTTCGACAGCAGTGCTGCAAGCGGCGTTGTCTCGATCGTCGGCTTCGGCACAGGTCGTGGGCGCCGCCGCAGGCGCCGTCTAACCCAACACCGACGGCTTGATTGTTTACAAGGCTTGGTCCCGAGACCACTGGACCACTTGCCGAGAAACTGCTTTTCGTCCCAGAATGTGGTTGACTAACAGGGGATATGTCGAACATTATCCCAGGCTTCGTAGCGTTTTCGAATGGACCAAAAATTTAGGGACCAACTCTGGGATATACGAGGGGGGGGCGTCCATCCTCGGTAGGGGTGCGTCCGAATAGCACCCCGGGGGTGTATCCCAAGGTCTCCCTCCTTTTCTGAGTGGTCCCATTTTTCGTCGAAGAGTCGGGGATTGGGGGAGAAAAATCGCCTGCGATTGACTGCCCTGGGACCCGAAAGCGGGGCCTGGAGGCCGCAAACGACGTGAAAGGGATGACGTTGGAGGTCTGGATAGGCGTCGTCCTCGACGTCGTGTTGTTCCCACAGCGTCGACCCTGGAGTTGTCGACCCCATCGTGTGGCTTCTTCATCCTGAGTCGTTCTTTGAAGGTCCTAGGGGCTGGCATGGGCCCCACATGAGGGGCAACGCTAGGGGGCTTTGACTTAGGAGGGACCCATCGAGCAGCATCTGAGGAGATTCCACTGGCCATTCCACTGGCGATGCATCGCCGATTCCACCTGAATGCTCCCCCCCCTGTCCCCGACCAGAGGCAACAACAACTAAAGCCCCTCGTGACTGCTCCCCGGCGCGAGCCCGGGGGCCGGCGCCGTAGCCTTAGCTCGCCTGCCCAGGCGGGGGGGCGACCAGAGCATGGCCTGCAGGGGCACGCCGCGACGGGAGGCGCACGCCGCAGGGCTGGAGGCCTCGGCGGCGGCGGGCCCTCCCCACGCCCTCCCCACGACGCCCGGGCCTGGGAAAAGACGGCGCCCTGGGCGCCCCCTTCCGGCTAGCCGAGCCCCGCGCTAGCTTGCCCATGGGGCTCAGCGGCGCCGGGGCTGGCGGGGCCACCGGCGCGACCGGCTGCAGCTCGGGCGCCTTGTCGGCGACACGACGCGAGCGGCGACGGCGGCGGCGACGTCGGCGGCGTCTCTGGCGACAGTGTCGTCGTCCTCGTGCTCAGCGGCGGCGGCGTTTTTGCGTCGGTCGGCGTCGGCGTCGGAAGGAGACTGGGAATGAAGATGCACGGCACGTCCAACAATAACCAGGAGAATAGAACGAATGCGTAACACCGAGGATGGCACGGGCACGAAAGGTTAACCGATCGCGCCCCCAAGCAAAGACGGCAGCCGACAGGTGAGAACATGCAGAGGGGCAGAGGCAGAGACAGAGCGATGAGCTACCGTCGAGTCTGGTGCTCAAGCGGGTCTGCTCGTGCCTCGCCAGTTCGGGGGTTCAAGCCACACCCAACCAGCAAAGCAAAATCGAGTGAAGCTGCGGAGACCTTTGATTGACCAGATCTCACTGAGACTCACAAGCATGAACAATTTCAGTGCAGGGGGTTCTGCCCCTCTTAAAATAAAAGTGGTGAGGTAACTCTCTAATGACTGGGTTCCTCGTAGACTTAGGTCGGGCGTGTCCCCCTACGGGCGAAGTTTGGACGAGAAACGAAGAATAGTCGAATCATATTCAACAAAATGCCCCAAAATACTCCAATACCTGACTATGTTTGAACATTCCTCCTGTAGAGGGACAGGCCCGGCTGAATCGTAGACTCGTAGACCATTGCGCATCTGAGACCTTCTACTGACCAGGCATCAGAAAGGCTCGGCACACGAGAAGAGACTGCCCCAGGAGGACCCTCTACTGACCGGGCCCCTCACAAGAAAGGCTGCGAGGCGGCAGACTATTCTGCTGGAGCACGAGGCGACTCATTTGCATGCTCAACTACCGGAATGTTGTCACCCCACGTGGTCGTCTTAATCGTCCATGTTTCGTCGCAACAGGGGCACTTTACACCTTCTGGGGGCTGCAAGGGGCCAATGGAATCGAGATCGTCCGACATGACATGTTTAGCGTATCCCAGGTTTCTTCTTACATGCTGTCGAACGCAGTCTTCAATAGAGTGCGTCGAACGACACAGGGGGCACATGACACCGGTCACGCACGAACACAAGGGTTACGGTTTCCATGTTCACCGCCACGAGCTTCGAACGTGTGTGAAGTCAAGGCCCCGTGATTGGAGATCTCAGGAGGGGAGCCCACAATCGAATCGGCAAGTCGGATCGGCGATCGACATGGATCGTACCGGCGGAATTCGGCAGCCGCGTCGGGAGAAGTCAAATCGGCGGAAATCGGCAGGCTGGTGGGGCCTCCCATAAGAGATCGGACCCCAGAGCGGAATCCCAAAGTCGAATCGGATCGAAATCGGAAGCCATCGAGATCGAATCGAATCGAAACGGAGAGATCGCAAAGAGCCCTGATGGACAAGCGCGTTCCACTACTCGAAAAGTAGCCTCTCGCTAATGGCCCGGATCCGTCGAGGGGAACTGCGATAAATTACATCCAAGCAGACATGTGTGTACCGGACGTTTGCGAGTGGGCACTTTGCGAGAAGCGGAACGCGCTCGGCGACCTGTCCTCCCGCAAACGATTCGCGAGAACCCTCCGCGCCAGACAGTGTCCCTGTCCTTGGAGGCACCCCCCGCCGCGGGCCCCGCTCCTCGCCTCCGAGGGTGCGCGCCAACGCCGTGAGCTCTGCTTCCGTCGGAGGGGCCGCTCCACGTGCCGGCCGGCCCGCTCGCCGCCCCTGAGGACGGCGGCCCCGAGCGTCCACGGGTCGACTCGGAGCCACGCCCCTCGGAACCTCGTCGGCCTCAGCTGGGTGCGATGCGCAAACAGCCGCGCTCGAGTATCGCTCATCCGGTCCCCATCCCCAGCGGCGTGGCCTGGGCCCCACTGGCCGATCGATAGAGGCCGTTCCCTTCGGGCTTCGAGGGGCGCATCCCCAACTGGGGGGGCAATCTGGTGGGGGTCTCGAAGGGGATGGGGATGAGGATGGGGATTGGTTAAACGATACAAACGCATGTTCAACTCGCTCGTGGGGAAGCAAGAAGGCACCGATACCGCTACTCCCCGAACCTCTGCTGGGGTGCGTTCTGACCAGAATTTCGAGGCGAATCCAGCGGTGGCGACGAGAGCCTCCCAAGAGGCCCAAAGAGGGGAAAACGGGCGAGGGGGTAGAGGTATGGGTACCTTTTTCGTCCTCTGAGCGCAGGGATTGGGTAAACGATACCAACGCTCGTTCTCTCGCTCGAGGAAACCTCGCGGCGTCGCTGATATCCCGGCGTGCGTCCAGATGTGAAGCCCTGCTTGGTTTGTGGATGCCATGACAATGGACACACTAACAGTCCTATCACTGAATGAAAGATGTGTTTAAGCTGTGTAAAACCTGTTCTGGAAACGTATCAAACATGTTATTACATGTTTAAACTGTGTCTGAAACATGTTTTGGGCATCTGGAAATTACTTGGCAGCATGCTTCCTCTCCCTTGATCGTCCTCCACAATGCTTGGTGCGCCGGCGAGGGGGAGCAGCTCCGGCGGGGCGTCCGCTCGGGTCCGGGGCGGGAGGTCCTTCGGGGCTCCCCAGACATGACGGGGCCTTGGGACACACAAATAAATAGACACAGATAGCAGGATTCCCCAGATGTTCCCCTATTTTCTGCGATTCTGACTTCCCCCCACTCCCCATAGTTTCCCGTAGTTTCTGGGGAATCGACGATTAATCGTATCTGTGTGTTTTCTCCATCCTGAAGGTCCACCATTCAGGTCTCCCCAGATCTCGCGGTGACTTGAGCGTGGAATTCTGTGCCACAGGCCACTTTCTGAGCCCAAGCAAAACGTCGGCAGGCTTGCGCGCAAGCAGTAGGAAGCACTTTCCACCTACGCCGAAGAGCTGCACACGGCAAGCTCTGGGGGTGCTGACTGCTCCAGTCCGTAGCCTTGCCACGATCAGGGGCCCGAAGAAAATCAGCGACAATCGTATCCATCTGGTCAGTCATTCTTTCAAAGAGCACGAAGGCCAGGAGCTTGTGCTTGCACTATATACGACTACCCCAGAGACTACCCATCTTGGCCCAGCCCGCTCGCACAGCCGAGCACCGATACTGTAACTCTTCCATCGTCGCTACGTTCCCCCTCCGTCGTCAACTGCTTAAAACACGTGTCCTCCCGATTGGGTTTCTTGTGAAGAAGTCCTACCGCGTTGAGCTCCGTATGCAGGATTGGGATTTGGCGGCAGGCAGGCGACGAGAGGCAGGCGGCGGCAGACGATGCCGAAGGGCAGAGGAGCAGCAGCGAGCGGGCAACGGCGCGCGGGGCGACGACCAACGCGCGCGTCCGCGCGCGCCCCGCGCTCAAATCCCGAGCGCGGGGCGGGGTGCGCGCCCCGGGTCCGAAGCGCGGGACAATTTCACGCTTGGGTTTACTGCGCAGAAGTCCTGCCGCGCTGAGCTCCGCACGCAAGTGCTCGTCGCCTTGCTGGGCGAGGAGCTGGGGCCTCTCCGGCCTGTCCGGACCGAACGAGGATCTTATCGAAGATGACAGCCGCGAACACGGTGGTGCCCCCGTCGATCGCGCGCGGAAAGATGCCCCGCTACATATTCAGCGCCAGGTCGCTGGGTCTGGCGTCACGCCATACAGTACAAGGCCGCTGCACGATCTCGGCAAAAATGATAGGCTTCTCGTTCGATCCCATCAGTCCTCAACATCCGTGACGTACTACAAGGTTCCTCTCATCCCTCCACGGTTCGTCTCCTCGTCCCAAAAATCCCAAGAAACGAAAGGGGGAAGGAGGAGTGATCTCCTCCTCACTCCTCCCACCTCCTCATACTCCCCCTCCTCATCGTGTTTTTCCCTCTCCAGAGGAAGGGAAAAACACAATGAGTCTCCTCCTCCTGCCTTTCCTCCTCCTCCTCCTCCTCCTCCTCTTCCTCGCTCCCCCTCCCGAGGAGGGAGAAATGGGAGGAGAAGCAGGAGAGAGGATGCATGAGTGCGAGGAGGAGAACCAAGTGCGAGGAGGAGGAGGAGGAGGAGGAGAAAGAAGAGGAGGCGGAGAAGGGGAAGGAGACGAAGAAGAGAGGAGGACGCGAGGGAGCGAGGAGGAGCAGGAGGCCTAGGGCGCGAGGGAGCGAGGGAGGACGGGGACGAGGACGAGGCAGGAGGGAGGAGGCGGGAGGACGAGGACGATGACGAGGACTACGAGGATAGTGTTGTGCATAGCGTGCACATGGAGACTTTGATGCGCACGCTAATCGGGGAGCCGTATAGAGTGCACGTCGTAGGAGGTGCACTCTATACGCGGTTGTCCAGCGTTTGGCGTGCACATCCGATGTCTCAGCAAAAACGTTTAGTGCACCTGTGTGTTCAGAATGCCGATCTGGCTCAGCAGTCCCTGGAACCACACTCGGCCTTTCGGCCTCCGCAGGACCGAGCTACTTCTGCCTCCTCTTCCTCCTCCTCCTCCTCGTCCTTCTCCACCTCCTCTTCCTTCTCCTCCTCCACCTCCTCCTCCTCCTCCTCCTCCTCCTCCTCCTCCTCCTCCATCATCATCATCATCATCATCATCATCATCAGCATCAGCATCAGCATCAGCATCATCATCATCATCATCATCATCATCAGAATCATCATCATCATCATCATCAGATCAGCATCAGCATCATCATCATCATCATCATCATCATCATCATCATCATCATCATCATCATCATCATCATCATCATCTCATCAGCAGCAGCAGCAGCATCATCATCATCATCATCATCATCATCATCATCATCATCATCATCATCATCATCATCATCATCATCATCATCATCATCATCATCATCATCATCATCATCATCATCATCATCATCATCATCATCATCATCATCATCATCATCATCATCAGCATCAGCATCAGCATCAGCATCAGCCATCATCATCTTCATCATCATCATCATCATCATCATCATCATCATCATCATCATCATCATCATCATCATCATCATCATCATCATCATCATCATCATCATCATCATCATCATCATCATCATCATCATCATCATCATCATCATCCGCCTCTTCCTCCCCTCCCTCCTCCTGCCCCTCCCCCTCCTTCTCCGCCTCCTCCTCCTCCTCCTCCTCCTCCTCCTCCTCCCCCTCTTCCTCTGGAGGGGGTAGGGGACAGAGTGGAGAGGTGAGCCGAAGAGTCGGAATCGTAGAGTGCGCCCTGACGAGGACGCTATACACTCATGCCCAGGAAGGTGGCATGTAAAAATATCGCCAACGTAAAAACGGTTAGCATGCACGTCCGCTTGCAACAGACACGTCGAGCGTACACGCACGGTTGTTCGGGAGGACAAAGTGGCTTCGAAAGGGAGATGTCGTATAGCGTGCATGGTCGGTGAGTCAAAGATTGTCCCTCTAAGGGAGACGCGCACGCTATACGAAACAGCTTCCTCGTGCGATGACGACGAGGGGCGCGGGAGAAGGGCGGGGCGGGAGAAGCGGGGCGGCGCCACGGGCGCCACGGGCTGCTCGACGAACACAGGCTGCTCCACCGGCGCCGCGACGGGAGCCGGATCTGCGCCGCCGTTCCAGGCGCCCGCCGGGTCCTCGGGGGAGAGGGGGGAAGCTGTACCTCCTCATTCTGCCTCCTCCCTCCTCCTCCTCCTCCAACTCCTCCTCCTCCTCCTTCTCCTGCTCCTCCTCCCTGCTCCTCCTCCTCGTCCTCCTCCTCCTCCTCCTCGTCCTCCTCCTCCTCCTCCTCCTCCTCCTCCTCCTCGTCCTTCTCAATTTCGTTCTCCTCCTCGTCCTCCTCCCTGCTCCTCCTACTGCTCCTCCTACTGCTCCTCCTACTGCTCAGCCTCCTCCTCCTCTCCTCCAATCCTCCCCTACCGCTTCCTTGTACTCCTCCTCTCCTCCTCTCCTCCTCATCCTCCTCCTCCTCCTCCTCCTCCTCCTCCCCGCTACCTCCTCGCCAATCCTGTTTCCATATAAGTAGCTCCCGCCTGTTTCACAGCCAGACGTTTTGGTGGGGCGGGCCAGACGTTTCGCCTGAGACTTCCTCAGCAATTTTGATCCTGCAGCTTTGAAGTTGCAATAAATGCTGACATGGACTGACATGGACTGCGGGCCGTTTGTAAATGCGGTTCCCGCCACAGCGCCGCGCACAGCGCCTGGAAAGTTCTGCAGCAGCTTCCTCGAGGGTGGATCGTCTTCCAAGCGTGACGCGTGCCTGCCTCAGCGCCGCGCGCAGTCGTCTTGGAAGTTCGCAACGGCTCCCTCGCCATCGTTCGGACGTCCATTCCCTGTGTTTTTTTTTCGGTTTCGTGCGTGGTTGTTTCGCCAAATGATCAAGGATGCTCCTCGATGGCCCTCGCCGAAGGAAAAATGCACACGTCCGAGCGATGCCAAGCTCCGAGGATGGAAGCTTCCCTTGGGGGGGGATCCTCCTCGGTGTGCGTGGCTCGGGTCGCAGCCTCGCGCGCAGTGGTGTTCGGATGCTGCAGCAGCTAGAAGTATTCGGTCGAGGCGTTGACCTCAGGAACCCTAAGTAAGGAACGAGGCCCCTATTTTCCATGAGTTAAGCTTCGATTTCGTATCGAAACCCTAAGGAAAATCTAAGGCAAGCTGCGAAACAATTAAGGAACACGGAGCCCCTCCCCAACGAAATTGGTTCCTTCTTCAGGGCCCCGACTGTGTTCGGTCGGGCATGTCCTCCCACAGGCGGACCTTGAGAGAAGCATGCAAACGCTCCAAAAATATCCCAACGGAGTCAAACATGGTCAAAACAGCGACCCCAGACTATGCTTTGACTGTTCCTGAATATTTCCTGCCGTAGAGGGGCAAGCCCGGCCTAATCAGTACTGAGCGCGGGTCGCTGCCGAGATGCGGCCCTCGCCGGGGCGCCGCGCGCGCTCGTCGCTGACATCCGCAACGGGTTCCCCAAACATTGAGCTCTCGGTTCGGCTCCCCCGGACGTTGCACCAGCGCCAGGAGGCGCGAACTGGAATACAGTCAACCAGCACAGCAAGGATGCGCGGTAAGGATGCAAGGGCCTTGGAAGCCCATTTCGAAGCTTTTCGAGCGGGGCGCGGCCAACGAAACTGGCCAAGGATGGACCGAGGAGGCAAGGAAGCAAGGGTACCCCTGGGAAGGTTGCCCATCCTTACTATGCGGGTTTACTGTACACCTAGGTCCCTTAGAATTGGGTCGGGCATGTCCCCCATACAGGCGGTTCCCGGAAGAAAAATCCGAATATCTTTAAAAAGTGCTGGAACACACACATCCAGAATTACTAGAAAAATCGTCCCCTTACTAATTGTTGACTATGTTTGAATATTTACCCTGTAGACAAACATGCCGCATGCCCGACTTAACCTTAGAATTCCTCGTCATCAGTCCTGAATGAATGTGTGTTAAAAGGTACGGGCCCACAAATTCTTACATCTCCTGGGTTGTGCCGTCTTTCCCCGCGTGTTGTCGCGTGACTTCTTCGGGGCCACGAGGGTCCGCTGCGGATTGCGGGGTACGCGTCGGCGCCAGGATGGGCTACGGCAGATTTGTGCCGTGGCGACTTGCGCGCTTGGTTTCTCAGACACCGCGTGGATCGCTCCACCGTGCACGAATGCTGGTTTCCAAAAGCGTAGATCACTCGATGTCGGTCGATTCCGCGCCCCTGGCGGCGCGCAACCTTGAACGCGGGCAAATGAATCGCCGCCACCTCCATGTAGCACTACTTCCTTCTACCTGATCCGTGGCGCGTGTGTACCCCTTGGCGGGTGCCGTCCAAGGCCCTGCTACCATTAGGTCGGGCATGTCCCCCTACAGGCGGATTGAGGACGAAAAATTCAAAAGACTCATAAAAAATACTCTCAAATTGTAAAAAAATACTCCAGAAATCGCCCCCCGACTATTTTCTGACAATGTTTGGATATTCCTCCTGTAGAGGGTCAGGCCAGACTTAATGCTACCATTGAAGAGCGTGCTGGACTTCCTCGGTGGGCGGCTCCGGGGGGGGAGAGGGGAGGGGCGGGAAGGGAAAGAGTGGCGGCAGCAGGGGCTGAGGAGAAGGGAAGCGAGCAGAGACATCTTCCTGGTTGACCCAGAAGGGGGTCCAGCGAAAAGTCGGTGGTGCAATAGATCTGGTGCAATAGATTTGTGGGGTCCCAATGGAGTTGGGGGTGTGCAGTACATTCCGGTGCTCGACCGCACCACTGGATGTTCGCGTGCAGCACCGTAGTCGCAAAACAAACGCAGTGCATGACAGTCCTCTGGCGCCATACCTGTGCAGTACCATTGCCCCAAATCTATTGCACCACGCCCCTTGCAGCTGGAGCCCCTTCTGGGTCACGAGGAACCTCCCCCCCTCCCCCTGCCGCCGCGTCCGCGGCGCGGCGGCCCGAGGCGCCGCCGGGCAGGCTGCCTCGGCCTCGGAGCGCGGCCCCAGCGGCGGACGCCCGGGCGGCGGGGCGGCCTCACTTGGCCATCCGCGCGGCGCGGTCCTCGATGATGCTCAGCTTCTCCCCGTTGCCCTTCGGCAGGGAGATCCACGGCTTGCCGCCCGTGCCGATCACGAACACGTTCTGCATGCGGGTCGCGAACGCGTGCCCGTTGCTGTCCTTGACGTGCACAATCTCGAAGGAGCCCGGGTGGCGCTCGCGGTGGGTGATGTCGCCGACGCGGCCCATGTTGTTCCCGCCGCTGATCATGACCCTCTGGCCAGGCTCGAACTTGAGATGGTCCTTGATCTTGCCGGTGGCGATATCAATGCGTACTGTGTCGTGGGCCTTGATGTCTGGATCGGGGTAGCGTATCGTGCGCCCGTCATGCGTGATGGCGTAGGGGATGCCCTTCGGTCCACGCTCTACCTTCCTGACGCGCGCGAGCTTGTAGGACGCCTCCTCCTTGGAGATCTTGTGCAAACAAAACTTGCTTTTCGTGTTGTAGAGTAGCCGGAAATTCTCTTTCGTCTTGTCGATCTGTACGACGTCCATGAACCCGGCCGGATAGAACATGTCCGTGCGGGTCTTGCCGTCCACCTTGATCAGGCGCTGCATGGTGATCATCTTGCACTCGCGGTACGTCAGCGCGTACTTGAGGCGCTCGCGCAGCAGCACGATGAGCGGCAGGCACTCGCGCTGCTTGTGCGGGCCGGCGGACGGCTTGGGCGCCCAGCGGCCCCTCAGCTTGTCCAGCATCCAGTGCGAGGGCGCGAACATACGCTTGAGGTGCTTCTTGGGTCCTCGCGCCATGGTGTAGGGGTGTAGGGGTAACAACTCGGAACTCCCTGCCTCGCTGCTGCACCTGCAAGATGCCTCTGGTCTGAGGAGTGCCCCTCCTGGAGCCAAAACGGATTGAGCCAAAATGGCTGCGGGGAGGAGGGCCGAGGGACCATGGCAAAAGGATAAGGAGGAGATGAGCGACGAAAACTCATGGGTCCTACGCGAGATGGCACAGCGACCTTACGCGGTGGCTTACGCAGGCCGCCGGCGCAGCATGCCACATGGGAAACGAGGGCGCCTACGCGCAGCCTTACGCGGGCAGCCGACGCGCCAAAGTCGGTGGAGGCGCCCCCGTGTTCTTCCGTCTTTCAGATGTATGCGGGTTGACTCCCACATGCACACGCACACACAAACGCACGCACGCACGCACGCACGCACGCACGCACACACACACAATCAAATGAGCGCCAAAAGGCGCCAGTTGCGGTCGACACTCACTGTGTTTGCTATCACGTCTACCACTTCCTTCGCAAGGACACGATCGCGAAGTAGTCCTCGTGGTACCACTCCGCAAAAACATCCATGGGACACTCTTCCCCCTCCCCAGCCTCTCGACTCTGCTGTCACCCCCCTTCACGGCTTCGCCTCCCCGACCCTGGTGGTTCAGTTCACCCGCGCGGCTGATGGGCCACGCTTCTCACGCTCCCCCAGGGCGAGTAGACGAGCGTAAGACTCCAGAAGGAAAGCAAGTGAAGGTCCGCGCGGCGTTCCTGGGTCGGCGCTGGACCCCCGTCCTGGCTCGGCGGCAGCAGCGTTCTCGTGGATGCTGGAGTGGAAGGGAGGGGCCTGGCAATTTCAAGAAGCCCGTGGCGCGAGCACTGGATGAGAGCGAAGACGGCACATCCGGAGGGAAGGAGGAGGAATGGTAGAGGAGGAGGAGAGATCAGCCCGAGGACCCCCTTCCCTGGTGCTCGGAGCGCTCCAGGTGCGGCGCCGGAGGCGCCGCCAGGAGGGTCCACCGCCGCGCCCAAGAGAAATCTGGGCGGACCCCCGAAGGCTGACAGTCAAAGCATGGCCGCGAGAGCGCGGAACAATCCATGAGCGCCCCGTCCTCGAAGACCCAAGGCTCCAAGGAGATACCGCCAGCCCGTGCAGTGAGGATGCGCGATGAGGACGCAAGGGCCTCGGAAGGCCATCGCGAGCCTCTTCGAGCGGGGCGCGGCCAGCCGAGAGTGCCCAAGCCAAGGATGCGCCGAAGGGGCAAAGATGCCAAAGGGTACCCTTGGGAAGGTTGCTCATCCTTACCGTGCGGGCTGACCGCGCCCCGAGCACAGAGGGCACTCCACGGCGGCAGGCCGGAGCACCAAGAGCCCGAGAGGGTCCCCCTCCCCAGCTGGCCAGAGCACGGCCGGGAAGCAACGGGGGCTCGCTGCGTGCGCGTCGGCTGCCGAGAAGGAGCGGCCAGCAAGAAGGCAGGCTGGTATCTCGGATGTGCGCCCAAGCCAGCTTCGCCTTGCGCACGTCCCCCGGGCCACGGGCTCTGTGTGCGCGCAGCCCGCGGAGGTGGCTCTCTTGTTCTGTGTGGTTCCAGGCGTGGCAAGCTCGCAGAATCGAATCCTCGTGGCCTCGCCGGTGAATAGCCATTTCGCTCGGACAGGCGATAAGACACAGTGGTCCCTCCTCAAAAGTGGGACACACCCCAGGAGTTCATTTCAGGCGCCCCTCAGCTTCGAGGCACTCACCCCGCTGCACCTGTGCCTCCGGCGCCAGGCCGAATAGCTGGTGGACCGGGAGGCCCACCCCGCAGTCGCGGGAGAGGCAGCAGCGGAGGTGGCAACAGAGTAGTCAGAAGATAACTGACTGCCCTTCGACCGCGCGACGGTCCTCTTACTCCTCCTCCTCCTCCTCCTCCTCCTCCTCCTCCTCCTCCTCCTCCTCCTCCTCCTCCTCCTCCTCCTCCTCCTCCTCTCCTCTCCTCCTCCTCCTCCCTCCTCCTCCTCCTCCCTCTTCTTCCTCCTCCTCCTCCCGCCAACTCCTCCTCCTCCTCCTCCTTTTCCTCCTCCCCATCATCCATCTCCGCCTCCTACTACCACGTGTCCCCCTCCACTTCATCATTCCTCGATCCTCAATTCCTCCTCCTCCCCCCTCCTCTCCTCCTCCTCCTCCTCCTCCTCCTCATCCTCATCATCATCATCATCATCATCATCATCATCATCATCATCATCATCATCAGCAGCAGCAGCAGCATCAGCATCAGCATCATCATCATCATCATCATCATCAGCATCAGCATCAGCATCATCATCATCATCATCATCATCATCATCATCATCATCATCATCATCATCCTCATCCTCCTCTTCCTCCTCGTCATCGTCCTCGTCCTCGTCGTCGTCGTTATCGTCACCGCCGCGTTCGTCGTCCTTGTCATCGGCATCGGCATCGTCATCGTGTTGGCGTCGTCATGACCAGCATCCTCCTGCACCTCCTCCTCCTCCTCATAATCATCATCATCAGCATCATCATCATCCTCATCATCATCATCATCAGCATCATCATCATCATCATCAACAGCAGCAGCAGCATCATCATCCTCATCCTCATCATCATCATCAACATCATCATCAACCAAATCGTCGTCATGATCATCAGCATCCTCATCATCATCAGCAGCATCATCAGCATCATCAGCATCAGAATCAGCTTCATCATCAGCATCAGCATAAGCATCAGCACCAGCATCAGCATCATCAGCATCATCATTAACAATATGAACATCACCATCAAACTCACCATCACTAGTGTCATCATCGTCATCAGCATCATCACCACAATCGAACTCATCGTCATCACCATCAGCATCAACATCACCATCAGCAGCATCATCAGCAGCATCATCAGCAGCAGCATCACCATCATCACAACCATCACCATACTCATCATCAACAACCACATCATCATCAGCATCATCATCAACATCGTCATCATCATCAGCATCATCACCGGTATCATCATCACGATCAGCATCATCATTATCATCACGATCAGCATCATCATTATCATCATCATCACCATCATCATCAGCAGCATCAGCATCACCACGATCGCCATTGCTATCGCCATCACCATAATCCTCACCATCACCATCAGCGTCATTATCATCAGCATCCTTATCAGCAACATCCGCATCACCTCTATCATCATCGCATCGTCATCATCGTCATCATCGTCATCATCATCATCAGCATCAGCATCAGATCGTCATCATCATCATCATCATCATCATCACCATCACCATCACGATCGCCATTGCCATCACCAGCACCATCGCCATAAGCATCACCACAATCACTACCACCATCACCACCACCATCACCATCATCATCATCATCATCAGCATCATCATCATCTTCATCATCATCATCATCACCGTCAGCAGCATCACCATCAGCATCAGCATCCGCATCCTCATCGTCCTCGGCATCATCCTCATCGTTCTCAACATCAGCATCACCACTGTCCCCCACCACCATCATCACCACAAATCATCATCATCATCATCACTGTCATCGATCACCATAGTCATCGCCGCCACCACCACAATCATACCCCACGCGTCATACCACTCAAAGATTGGCAGACACTTGCATGGGACTAACTAGTTGCGCGGGAGGCGTGAGTTCCATATTGCTTGTCCTCCTGCATCCGATTGCAGACCCCTCATCATCAGCATCCTCCGCATCACATTCCTTCCCCATCCCCATGTCTCCCTCCCCCACACCCCCATCCATCCTCATCCATACCGCTCATCCTTCTCACCCCCAACCATCATCCAGCCAACCTCATCGCCCTCCATCATCATCCCTCGTCCGCACCATTTTCCCCACCCCTGGCTCCAACCCGCGCGGGTCCTCCTGCGGGGTGGCCTGGGCCACTGGGGCGGGCGGCGCCGTCGGCGGGGGCGTCGCAGTTGGCGCAGGCTGGGGGGGAGGGGGGCCGGCTGCACACTCCCATTGCGCCCACGACTTGGGTCCCAAGGGGAGGAATGCGAGGATGGCGACCAGGAGGGAGCAGGAGGGACGGGGAGGGGACAGAGGAGGAGCGGATGGGGCAGAAGGAGAGGGATGCGGATGAGAATGTTATAACGAAGACCAGTGCTCGCGCATCTAGCCACGACGAAACTATGAGGATATACCATCAACAATCCTTCTGGCCAACCATGCCGCAAGTGACCCCAAGCAACTTAGGGTTAGGCCTTTCTCGAGGGAGCCAACCACGGAAGCAACATACTTAGACAATTTACTCCGAGGTTCGGGAACGCATGGTTTCCTGAGCGTTTGGAATTGGCCACCGCTTGCAGATACTAAGCACTGCGTACGGACATTCAGCATGGTGGAGTTACAACACGAGAGATCAATGCACATGTGCACAAGCTCTAGCGGTGCGAAAGCGACAGGTTGACCAGCGCAGCGCAAGGCACAAAATCTGTACCCCCATCTTTGGAATGCCGGAATATACACTGGCAAACCCAGTGCACACATGCCCGGCTCTTCGAAGTTGTCTGGAGGCATAGGCGCACAGACTGGGTTGCGCCTCCCCTCTCAGCTGCAAAGTATGCGCCGCCACTGTCGATATTGCAGACAGCGCTACGTAAGGCAAGTATGCAGAGTCTGAGACACATACATGAATTGGGTGCGCGACCCAAATGAAGGATGCGTTCCATCTTGAGAAACAGACAAGGGTAAGGACGTCTGAAAGTCGTCTGCCCCGCACACGGCGCTGCAAAGGTCCTTGCAATGTTTTGGCAATCACTGTGGCCATGGGATGAGGAGCCCAAAATATCGCTGGCCGCCGAAAGGTGGCCGAAGTATCCCGCCTGGGAGGTCAGCTGGAATTCGGCCAACGTGGGGCCAGAAATCAAAACAAGGTGTCTCGCCGAATCGTCCGAGACCGATAGGCCTCATCAAGCCTCCTTTAGCTCCGACACAGTATGCCCTTCCATGTCAGGACACGTAGAGACTGGATAATCTGACCAAGACACATCCACCCCTCCATCCATTGCAAGTCCTGGAAGCTTATACCCATGATGAAGAAACATCTATTTGTTGAAAGGTTGGAAATCATCCTGGACTGGATTCACCCCGAGGGCCTCTTCTGTCATCACGTCCTGTGGGACCAACTCCCATCGAACCATAGCAACTGCAAAGCACTACGAGAGGCGATGAAAAGTCGTGTCGATGGGCATCAAGACAGAGCGGGCAGAGCAGTTCGGATAGTTCGTAGCTGGCATCATTCGCGCGAACTCTAGACAAGATTGCATCGCAGGTCAAGGCATTGGTACGGCCCTCACTGTAGAAGCTAAGCGTCCCACTCCTATGAACAGCACTGACCACGTCGAAGCACACCCGACCCTGGAAGTCTACCTTGGTACCTACGAACCTCTGAAACTCACGAATCAGCCCATTCACGGATAAACAGTTTCACCAGCTTGCGAGACGTCGTTGTAAGATGAACAGTATGTCGGAAACTAATGTCACAAAATCCTGTATGTCTTCGCCAATCCTTAGAAGTGTCAACTTCATGGCAAGAATGGAAACTGGCGCAGGACTTTCAGGGTGGGCTGCACTGAAAGCCGAGGCGAAGGCCAAGAGCCACGGCCGAGGGAGCGACGTGCCGCGCGGGGCGGGGAGGGCGAAACACAGGGAGGGGGGAGGCCAGTGGAGCAGGGGGCTTTGAGGGAAGAGAGGGGCAGGGAACCGAGGGGAAGCCGGGGGGCAGGAAGAGGCAACACATCGGGGGGGAGGGAAAAAAAAGGGAGGGGAAGGAAGGGGAAGGAGGACGGGAGGAGCAGCACCGTCGCCGTGCCGCCACGAGGAGCGCCAACTGGGGAACGAGGGGGGCCCCTCTGGCCACGGCGAGCCAGGGCCACGAGCAGGCGCACCCGATCCAGACGGGGGAGCGGCCCGGCAGGCAGAGCCCATCACGAGCCCGATGGGGGCCCTCACTTCGGCGCCCCGGCTGCTCTCACTCCAGGGCAGGAGGGGGCGGCGCGCCGCGTCGGCGGTCCCACGGCCTGGCCTTCCGCCTCCGGAGCTGGAGGCTCGCGGCCGCTGGTGGCTCTGGCGTGCTGCAGCACGCGGAGGCAAGCAGGGGGGGGCGGGCGGGGCGCGGGCAGCGGGAGGAGAGGGGGAACAGCACCAGGAAGCCGGAGGCGCGCACGGCCGACCTCCTGCGCGGAGCCTGCGGAGGCCAGCTGCTGGACACACACGGCTTCAGGGTCGCGCCGCCTGGCCATGGAAAGGGCAGGGAGGCCTGGAAAGACGCCTGGCCACGAGCACATCTGTCTCTCGCCCAGGCCGGCCGCGCGTCCTGTGCACCCATGGCTCCACGGCAACAGCACCGTGCGAGGAGCAGCAGGAGTGGTGGGAGGAGCAGCGGGAGCAGCAGGAGCAGGCGGCAGGAAAGGGGAGAGGAGGGAGAGGCGTCGTGGTCGCGTCGGAGGATGGGAATAGCAAGGGCGCCGTCCTCATTGACAGCTCTGACGCTGGGAAGCTCACGAATGGAGAATGCGAGCGAGGAGGGAGGGAGAGGCGGAGGAGGGGAGGAGGGAGAGGAGGGAGGGGAGGAGGAATGGGAGGCAAGAGAGGGGGGAGAGGCGAGGGAGGAGGGAGGGGGGCGCAGCAGGAGGGCAGCGGCAGGGGGAGGAGCAGCAGGAGAGCAGCAGCAGGGGGGGCGGCGCGGCGCGGCGGCCGTCTGCTCCGCCAGGGCGGCCAGGTCGCAGAGCGAGGTGCCCGCGAGGGGCGTGGCCGTGGTGGCCTCGGGGGAGGGAGGGGGGAGGGGGGGGGGGGGGGGGCGGCCCTCTCGCTAGAGCAGCCCTCCGCTCGGGGCACCGCGGCGTTGGCAGATACGCCCGGGTTCTCACGTGGGGAGGAGGAGGAGGAGGAGGAGGAGGAGGAGGAGGAGGAGGAGGAGGAGGAGGAGCAGGAGGAGCAGGAGGAGCAGGAGGAGCAGGAGGAACAGGAGAACGTTGGAGCGTCGAATAAGGAGCCCGTGTGTCTTGTGAGGAGATAGGCATTATGGCGAAGAGCACCACGTTTCCTGGATGGAGACGCACGCGTCACTCTCGGGCATCACATAAGGTGGCATGGCTCGTTGGAAACGCATGTGTGGATGGGCGTCTTCTCCTGCATTCCTGGACAGAGGCGGCAAGAGGCATGATTGCTGGACGCGCACACTCCAGATGGCCCCAGAAACCACCTCGAATTCGAGCAGGTCGGTTGACCCTCTTCGAGGGCTGCCTGCACAGAACTGGGGCCCACCGCGGCGAACAACGCCTGCCCAGTGTGCGCTCGCCCTACAGAACACAGTGAGTTGTACAGAGGTGGCCACGAGAAGAGCCGCTCTCGCCGCAGGAGGGTGCCTGCGCAGCCTGGCCTCGCCCGGCACCGTTGGTGCAGCGGGGCACGCGGTCTTCACTGTGCATCCCCCGAGAGCGCCCCGGACTCGCCGTGAGGGTGGCATCGCCCGAGGCAGGAGTGCCGTGGTCCTCGGGGCAGGCATCCCGTACTCAGGCACATCTTCGTGGGCCTGGCCCTCACGCCAGGACCCAGGGCGGGGTATGTGTACCCGAGCACGGAAGATGCAGCCGCGCACGATGGGCGTGATCAAGCATGTTTGCGACGACAAGCAACGGGCAATGACGGCACCGCGTCAGATGATGGGCAGGACGTCCACCCGGCATATCCAGCAGACACCCGCCCTAGAAGGTGGACTAAACTTGCCTATGCGCAGCAGTTACTTGGTTCACTACGAGGCTCGATGCGGACTTGCTTCTGTGACACTTGGCGAGATGGCACCACGGTGCAGCGGACTGTGTCCTCCGAATGTTATCTCGCAAGACTTGCACGTCTCTGCCCATGCTTTGCCGGGTGGCCAGGAGGAGGAGGAGGAGGAGGAGGAGGAGGACGAGGAGGCACACAGCCCATCGAGGCAAAAGTCAGAGGGGGGGGGAGAGAGAGAGAGAGAGAGAGAGAGAGAGAGAAAATGAGAGAGAGAGAGAGAGAAACAAAAACAAAAAAAACGGCTTTTCTCCGCCCGTACGAGGTGGTCTTTGACAGGCCTGCAACGGGGTCCCGTGCCCCGCCGCAAGCCCGCGACAGAACGACCCCGCTCTGACCTGTACAACCCTGGTCCCGAGTGCCTCGGCCAGCTCGCGGCACTCGAATCCGAAGGCTTTCAAGCAAGCTTGGAGATCAAGGTGGGGGGCAGCTGCGTTCCGCAAAAAGGGAGAGGAGGAGGAGGAGGAGGAGGAGGAGGAGGAGGAGGAGGAGGACAAGGAGGAAGAGTAAACCCTTCCTGAGGGTCGGCTGCATCTACCCAACCCCCGCCTGAGCCAGAGACTGGAAAGTGCTCGACCCCTGCTTCGAAGCCCAGACGTGGCATCAGCTCTGGGGCCCCCGGTCCGACGGGGCCCCTGGCATGGGCGCCGGAACAGGCCCAAACGATCCCCGCCGCGCCCCGCCGCCGCCCTGCCGCTCCATCGCTCCGCCGCCCCTCCCTCGCCAGCTCTCTCCACCACTGCATCGCTGGGGGGGTCCTGCGGGCCCGCCCGGATTGGCGCTCCCCAGACGCCGGCCAGCACGACCGATGTACTGTGGCGCGGCGCGGGGGGGGGGGGAAAATATGCAATAAAACAACCGGATCGTAGACCCCACCTGCGAATACACCCCACCCAGGACGGGAGAGTTTCGGAGGCGGCCCCGGCCGCTGGAGGTCCGACGTCGGCTGCTCCACCTGGAGCGATCAGGCACTCCGACGGCCTTTCACCAAGGCTGGGGAGAGTGTGGTGCTGGCTTCGTTTTACGCCGTGCCCTTCGCTGTGCGACGTGCGAGGGTGCATGGGGCAACGTTCTCCTGCGAGCGCCCACGGAAGCGAAGTATCACTCACAGAAAAGAGAAGCCATCCTGGCGGCGAGGCTGAGTTGGCTGCACCAGCGATAGAGCTAAGCAGGGGCACCGAGAAGCGAACTGGCCAGCGTGCAAAGAGCGGGGAGAGGGCAGAGGGCCATCCCAGTAATGTACATGCCTGGGAAAAAGGGGTGACAAATATACCGTGGAGGCCAATCCACCAGAAACCCATCCGCAAGAAACCGATCACCGAGACCCCAGGACGTCCCTGGATGTTTGTTGGTGTGGGAACGTCGGGCCTCCCATCGCAGAACCATCGAAACCCGAGCAAACTGGGGCGCCCTGGAGGCAGGCAGGGTGCTGTCTTGGCATGGGCCTCCACTGCACGACCCTTCCGCCTCCTCCTCGGCCCGCGGCGCGCGATGGGCCTGTTTTCCACTACCACCGCCATAAGTTGAAGGGGGAGGAGGCGGAGGAGGCGGAGGAGGAGGAGGAGGAGGAGGGAAGAGGAGGAGGAGGAGGAGGAGGAGGAGGAGGGAGGAGGGAGGAGAGAGGAGGAGGAGGAGGAGAGGAGGGAGGAGAGGGGAGGAGGAGGAGGAGGAGGAGGAGGAGGAGGAGGAGGAGGAGGAGGAGGAGGAGGAGGGGGAGGAGGAAAGGAGGAGGAGGAGGAGGAGCAGGAGGAGGAGGAGGAGGAGGAGGAAGAGGAGGAGGATGAGGAGGAGGAGGAGAGGAGGAGGAGGAGGAGGAGGGGGGGGGGGAGGAGGAGGAGGAGGAGGAGGAGGAGGAGGAGGAGGAGGAGGAGGAGGAGGAGGAGGAGGAGGAGGAGGAGGAGGAGGAGGAGGAGGAAGAGGAGGAGGAGGAGGAGGAGGAGGAGGAGGAGGATCGATCGATCGATCGATCGATCGAGCTCTCGGGCCAGTTCGGTGCTACACTCTCTCGGGCTTGCGTGGCATTACAAAATCTGGTGGCCTAGCTGAGATCACTTTGCCGAAAGGGTGTCGCTGGCGTCATCTGAGACGCTCGGGCCCTACCTGCACCGACCTGCCCCACGCAGGGGTCCGTGGGCAGGGTAGCACCCGCGTTTACGAATGCCCTCTCGCTGGCTCCTCTACTCCCCTGCCCTGGCCTCCTCTGCCCCTTCCCTTTCGCTTCGGTTCGGGGGGGGGGGTCGGCGCGCAACAAAATACTCGGGAAAGCTCGGGCCCCGAAGTCGGAGAAGGCCAGGAGTCTCAGACGTCGGAGGAGGAGAGGGGAAGCGGCCTTCCCTTACCAACATTCTAAAACGCTCACTGCCTTTGAACGCCTTCGGAATTGCTTGCGCTACGGCGCTGGCAGGCACAGGACAGAGCTGCACGGTTCTCATCCGTTGATCAGGCGCCACATCTCCCGCTCCGGCACTCCCCATCGGCGCCGATCCGATGTTGTGCGCCGTTCCTTCTTTGCGTAGTACCCGCGCGAGGAAGGGCTCCAGTTGCGGGTTCGCCAACTTCACCTGGGACTGGATCCTGCGCTTCTCGTTCGCTCCGCCTTCTTTGCCCTTGTTCGCCCTGGTGATCGGGATGCTATCGTTCACCGCCTCCGCGTTGCCATTCGAGATGGTGTCCTGGCAGTACTTCTCCCAGTGGTCGCGCTCCGCATCTGGCTCCAGGGTGCAGCCCATGTAGTTCGCCACCTCTGCCCCAACGCTGATGTGGGGGCTGCCCAGCTCGGCCTTCTCGCGCGCCAGCGTCTGGGCGAGGTGCGCCGTGATGTCGACTACCTGCTGGGTTGAGCGCCGCCGATGTTCCTCCTGGTCCTCCTGCTGGTGCTCCTCCCACGAGGCGTCTCGGCTGGCGGCTGCGGTCGGGGCGCGGTGGCCCTCCTGCCGTCGCCGCGGGCGCCCATGCTGGGCGCTGGTCGAAGAGCGCCACCCCGTGCGCGCGGCCGGAGTAGCTGTCTAGGTAAGTGAGTGCATAGGTGGGAGAAGAACGTGCCCCTGTCTAAGAAGAGATGGCTGCAGAGAGGGCATTTCGTGCTCGGTTTTGTCGGCTGGCATTGATTTCGTGTCCTATCTGAATTGCAGCTTCCTGTAATCATACTCCTCGCGAGATGTTTCCAAGCGGCCCCTCGGCTAGTGAAACACTGGCGGCAATTGATGCACTCGTTGTTAGTAGTCAGCAGAGCGGCTAAATTGTGTACGCGATGATTTCGGATGATGTGACTGTGCCACGCCTTCCTGCTGGCGAACAGGACTCCGCAGTCCCCTAGACTATCCCTGAGAGAGCATTTCCACGGTTGGAGGTCCTGGAGGGCCAGATCTTCTCGGAGCTCGTCGTTTGGGGCCTGTCCTGGTGGGGGAACTGCTTCTGTCAGTTTAGCTGCTCTGACCTCTCGTACGTCTAGTAGGTGTAGTTGTTCTCTGACTTCGAGCGTGAACATCTTACCTATCTTGATCTCCTCCTCCCCGAAGATGGTTCTGAAGTTCTCCGAGACTTGGCAGGCTTTCGCAACGTCCTCCTCGATTCGACGGGCCCAGGGGTTCGCACGCGTCGTCAGCTCGTTCGTGGTCTAATCGGCATTCGTCTCGGATTCGAGGCGTCCGAACAGGCGCCGATGAGTTGGCGGTGATTGTTCGGGAATATCAGGATGTTTTTTGCCCAGCCAAGCCTTCGGACCAAGGCTTCCTCCGCTGGTGGCAGGATCTGCCAGTAGCGAAAAACCTCCAGCGTAGTCATGCTGCGCACTGCGCCGCCCTCGCGGTGCGCGCTCGCCCTGCCTGCAACCCCCCTCATCAGCAGTGCTCTCATTGCACTCTGAAGTATATGGTACTCATTGGGCGTCGGCGGGTAGCACTCGACGCATGAGAGCCCCGTGCTGATGACCCTGCATGTGAGGACGGCGCGCTTCCACCTGTACGGGATCTCGCGCTTGGTCCAGAACTTGCCGCACTCGTAGTAGCTCTTCTTCATGGCCTGGATGCGTTTCTGCAGTTCTAGGTAATATTGTTGTGTCGCTGTGACCTGTGGGCCCAGGTACCTCGCCGTCGCCGCTACCTTGCCAGGAAGCTTGCACTGCGGGTCCTGCTTGAGTTGTTGATGTGCCTGGCTGGCATCCGAGCCCTGGAAGTAAACGATCGCCTCCTGATTGTCCTGGTTCTGTTCGAGGCCGATCTCTGTGAGGCGTACGTTCAATGTGTCGTCTATCTTGTGGGCCTGGTCGACGAGGGAGTGGGCGTCTGCTTGCTTCCCGCTCAGGATGAGCTTGCGTACGTCGTCCGCGTACTTGGTCAGGCCACCGTAGACGGGGCGTCGAAAAAATTCGCTCGTGCAGTAGAGCAGCTTGTCGTTCGTGATCTCCTCGTTGCAGTCCTTAGTCCAGCGCTCGATGCAGGGCGCGAAGCTGGCCACGAAGTTGCGTACCATGTACAGGTCGCCAATGAGGCCACCGCAGTGGGGCTTGATGCACACGCCCTGCGCGTCGTCTCTGCAGTCCATGATGAAGGTTGCTCGGCGGTAGCGCTGTTCGCCCAAGTCCCACCGGTCATTCGGCATGATATTGCTGTTCGCCGCGCCCATGGTAATCCATTTGCAGCTGGTGAACGCGTTGGACATACCCTTCATGGTGGACGCGTAGTTGTAGCCCGCCATTCGTGCTCTGTACTCGATGACCGCCATGGTGAGGATCGCGCCTTCCCTTCGTCTGCCCTTGATGAAGCCGTAGTCCTGGTCGGTGCGGGTGCGCTTCTGCTGTCGGCGTAGCGCCGCCGCGTAGTACGCCTTGCCGATCGGGCCCATGATGTGGTAGATCCTCTTGCCTGCAGGGCCCTTTTTCGTGTTCTTCTTGACTGCTGTCGCCGTGCTCTGATGCCAGCGCACTGGTGCCACGTTGCTGATGCGCATCGCTGGCAGTGCCGCCTTGAGTAGAGCTTGAGATAGAACTGGTTCACCGTCGCATGCTTGGTGTCCGGGTCCGCGTCGTTGGCGCGGTTGTCGGTCTTGGTCTGGCGGGCGAAGCAGCAGTCGCCATACTTCTGCTGGCGCCGCTGTAGGCGGCGCTGCTCGTCGGAGGCGTGCACGTTTGAGGCACTTCGCGATCTCGTTGTAATCCTCCTCGATCTTCTCCTCTAAGTCGTTCTCGTAGTTGCCCTGCTCCTCCGCGTAGTGCGGGATGGCTTCCAGGTGTTGCGCGTCCTGCTCTGTCCCCATCCATGCCGCCAGCGCCTCCTGGAAGTTGCCAGAACTCTAGCCACTCCTGCTTGGTTGGGTTTGCCGTCGTCGCCGTCCAGTAGCCCCCCTTGCGTGGTCCGCACCGTCCCCCTGCAATCAGTCGGGAGAGGCGTCCAACCCGTGCTAGGTCGCGTTGCTCCCACGCCTCGTGCAACTCCTCCACGCGGAGGTCGGCACGGTGTTGCCGTGCCCGTCGTCGTTGTAGTTGGCAGGTCCGAGTGATGTCTCGAAGCTGCGTTTCTATCCTGCGCATGCGCTGTTCTGTCTCGGTGAGTGGCGTTGGTTCCTCTTCGGCGTATGGGTTTCCTTCCGTGTTTCCATGGTCCTGAGTCGCCGTCGCGGGAGAGCCCCTGGGTTCGAGCTCGTCCGTGCAATACGGGGGTGGCGACGATGCGGTCGCAGGCGTGCGGAGAGACTCTGTGGTTGCTGCGTGGAGGTTATGAAGCTCGGCTCTAGCTGCTCTGCGATCTCGGAGGAGTTGCATGCGTCCGCGGCGTAGTTCCTCGTACTCGTCCGTCGGCGTCGGTGCCTTGCTGTAGAACCGCTGTGCCTTCTCGATGAGCATGGCGTTGCTGTCCTGGAAGAGTTGGTCCACTCCTTTGCCTGCTGGCTCGTAATCTTGCGTGGCCTGCTCCACCTGCTCGATGAACTCCCCTCGATGAAGTCCGTGTCGCAGTGCGTGGGCGAGGCTGTCCTTGTCCCACTTGGGTAGCTGGGGTCGATGTTGTACTCGTTGTCGTAGTGGTAGGCGAAACACCACGTGAACTGGAACGTGATCCCGTCGTGCTCGGCAACGTATGTTTTGAAGGCGCGCTCCCAGTGTAGTAGGGGTCCTTGTGAAATCATCGTTTCCGTAATGCTCTGCGGTATCATGATATAGTCGATGCAGCTAACGTGTTTCTCGCCGAAGTACGTGGGCCGCCAGCTGCCGATGGTATTCACTATGCTGAATTGGTGGCGGTCCGCGTAGTTTCGTGCTTTCTGCCCAGCGCCTCCTGGTAATCGTTCTGCTGTCGCCCTTCGCCCAGTGCTGCTGTCTCTGGTCTGTCTCCCTTGCTCGTGATGCCCACTCCGTCGTTGAGGTCGCCTGCCACGATGAGTATCGTATTGCGGTGCTTCCGCTGGCTGATGTCCTCTATCCAAGCGAACAGGCGGCTGGTCGTCGCATAGTAGTCCTTGCGCGACGTCTTGCCCTTGGTGGGCTGCGGGGGGCTGTAGTAGCCGATGATCAGCATGGTATGATCGTGGTGCTGCAGTGTGATCGCGAGTCCTCGTCCGCTGAGTTCCTGTGGTGGCTCGTGTAATTCTGTCACCTTGGCGCCTCGCAGTCGACCCTGTAGAGCTATGATGATGCCCGTGCTGCGGTTGGTCAGGTCGCCTGGCTGCCAGCCCGCCTCGTAATAGCGGGTGTCGGCGCTGCGGTGCTGCGTGATGCTGGGGTTGCGTCTTCTGCGGGAGAGCCCAGTCAGCACGATCATGTCAAAAGTCTGAGCCTCCTCGTATATCTCCGCCAGCCTTTCGGACTTTGCCGTGAGCGGGTTGAAGAGGAGCACTGCGAGAGACGCTGTGAGTGCCGCCATCGTGCGGGCCGTCACCCCTTCTGTCCGCTCGGACTGAGGAATAGCATGGTGGCGGTCTGGGCTGCCCTGACAATATCTTAGGCCCAGATGGCAGCTGGAGGAGGAGGAGGAGGAGGAGGAGGAGGAGGACGAGGACGACGAGGAGGAGGAGGAGGAGGAGGAAGTGGTGGAGGAGGAGGAGGAGGAGGAGGACGAGGACGAGGACGCGGACCCCCTCCCCCTCCAGCTTATGGTGGTGGTGGAAAACAGGCCCATCAGCGGTGGCCCGTGGCCGGCGCGGCGGCCGCCACCGGGGGCACGACGGCCGGAGGCCCGAGACTGGCGCGAGCCGCAGCACATCGGCCCGAGCAGGCAGCGGCTCGGACCGCGCGCCCGCATCGCCGCGGAGTCGGACCAGAGCGGGACGCTTGCAGGAAGAGGGATGTCGTCACGCGACGCGAAGTCCCCCCCCTAACCCACCGAATCCCCCTCGTCATCCTCCTCTAAAATATCCTCCTCCTCCTCCTCCTCCTCCTCTTCCTCCTCCTCCTCCTCCTCCTCCTCCTCCTCCTCATGATCCTCCTCCTCCTCCTCCTCCTCCTCCTCCTCCTGCTCCTCCTCATGGTCCTCACCCTTTTTCCCCCTCCTGCTAGGGAGAGGAGGCGGCGAGGAGGGGGCGGGAGAGGGGGGAGGCGAACACGACGGAGGGGCGAGGAGGCGGGAAATCCTGTTGGCGAGGGAAGAGGTGGCAGAGGAGCACCCGCTTGCCGCTCGTCTCTTTAGACCGCCCGATGGCCTTGGGTTTGCGCTGGGTGACGCATTTCCTGCCAGCAGCTGCTAGAATCAAGTCGCATGCAACATGGAATAGACCATCCCTATGCACAACTCGCTGCCTACCACCTGCTTTTCCGTCTTCCCCTCGTACCTCCACAGTCCCTTCCCTCGGGGGCGCGCAAACATGGATCGGGGGAGGTGCCCTCCCCAAAACACGGCCGGTGTCACCTCGTCCAGCGGCTGAAATCCGCGATTCCCCATGGAAACCGGACCCGTCGCTAATCCACGCCCCCTTGATCCATGTTTGAGATGGCCTGATTCCCCATCCTCCAGTCTCACGCATCCCGCCCTCGCGTTTCCGTTGCCGCCTCGTCCTACATCCGTCCCTGCGCCACCCTCCCCCTCCCCCCACCTCGCCCCCCCCTTCCAACCATCTCCGCCGCAACTGCCCACACATCCCAGGCCTCCCCCCCCAAAGCGTGCACCACCCCTCTCGCCACGTCCCCATCTACATCCTCCATGTCTCGACTCCCTCCCCTTGCGTACCAGCCGACTGGTGCGCAGTCCTCCCAGCGCTGCCTCGCGGGCGGACCTCCTAGCCATAATGGCACAAATATCATCGCATGTCTCGGTACCCTCATCATCGCAATCATCGCCCGCGTAGGCATTCTCGCAGTCGTCGCCCTCGTCCGCATCACCAACGTCACCATCGGCGATACCATCATCAACATCACCCCCATATCGTAATCATGATCGGTGCCGCCTTCCTCCGCAATATGATCGTAATCATGGTCACATTCGTCAGCGTCACCCTCGTCAGCGCCATCATGAGCGTCGTCATCATCATCAGCAATATCGCCATCACCATCCTCAACGCAATCCGCATCAGTGTCATCTACATAATCCGCCCCAACTCTGACATCATTGTCATCACCATCGTCATCAGCATCATCGCCATCACAACCACAACCACCATCGTCACCACCATCATCAGCACCATCATCACCACCCCCAATGCATATGCCGCCATCACAGTAATCATGGTAACAACAATAAAAGCAATACCAATACAATAGAAATCCGCCGGCCCCCTTGTGGGACCACCAGGCTGTAGGCCGAAGGTTCGCAGTTTCCTGTACCAGTTGCAGCGTCCAGTTTCCACTGTTACAATTCTGCTTATTGCTGCTTACAGTTGCTTGTTGATGGACCGCGCGAGGGGGGGGAGGCCCAAACAGGCAGGTTTAGCACGCCCAGAGCGTGTTGTCTGAATTGCTGGGGTGGGTAAAAATTAACACCACTCACGCAGATCGGCGGACTCAGGGACCAAAAACACGGGGGATGTGCCACATGTCTGAAATTCGGTGGCACCCCTCACGCAGATCGGCGGAGTCAGGGTCCAAAAACACATGGGATTTGCCACATTTCTGAAATTCGGCGGCACACCCGACGCAGATCCGTAGGGTCAGGGTCTAATAACTGTGGGATTTACCACATTTTTGAAATTCGGTGGCATCCCTCACGCAGATCGGCGGGGTCAGGGTCCAAAAACACAACGGATTTGCCACATGTCTTACATTCGGTGGCACCCCTCACGCAGATCGGCGGGGTCAGGGTCCAAAAACACAACGGATTTGCTACAAACTCGGTGGCACCCCTCACGCACATCGGCGGGGTCAGGGTCCAAAAACATATGTGATTTGCCACAATTCTGAAATTTGCTAGCACCCCTCACGCAGATCGGCGGGGTCAGGGTCCGAAAACCCGGGGGATTCTCAACATTTGTGAAATTCGGTGGCACCCCTCACGCGGATCGACAGGGTCAGGGTCCAACAACACAACGGAAGTGCCACATTTCTGAAATTCGGCGGCACCCCCGACGCAGATCCGTAGGGTCAGGGTCTAATAACTGTGGGATTTGCCACATTTCTGAAATTCGGTGGCACCCCTCACGCAGATCCGTAGGGTCAGGGTCGAAAAACAAACAGGTCCCGACAGCGGCATGGGGCGAAGCCCTTGCGGAGAATAGTAATAATAACAGTAGTAATAATAATGGTAATGGTTATGGTAATGACAATAACAACAATCATATAAGTAATAACACGTGTCAGCATCGTCATCATCAGCATCTTCAGCAGCAGCATCAGGATCAGCATCAGCATCATCAGCATCATCATCATCATCATCATCATCATCAGCATCAGCAGCAACATCGTCATCATCATCACCACAGTCATCATCACCATCACCATTACCATTATCGCATCCTGACCATCATCATCGTCGTCGCCGTGGTCGGCGATATCATCAGCCTCGCCACCATTAGTATCATCGTGGCCAGCGCCATCATCGCCGTCAAGAAAATCATCAGCATCAGAATCAGCGGCAGCCCCATCACCGCCAGCATCACCAGTGCAACATCGTTACCATCGAAATCAACTTCATCAACATCAGCATCAGCATTAGCATCATCACCATCTCCAGCACCAACATCAGCATCATAATCCGAATCATCATCATCATCACCATCAGCAGCAGCAGCAACATCACCATCATCACCAGCCGCAACAGCAGCTTCAGCATCATAATCAGCATCAGCATCAGCATCAGCATCAACATGATCCTCATCCTAATCCTCATACTCATCATCATCAAGTTCATCATTATCACCTTAGTATTATTCTGCACCATCATCAGCATCATCAGCATCATAATCAGCAGCAGCATCATCACCACGCGCATCCTCATCAGCATCATCCTACCAATGCCTGCTCCTGCTGATTCCTGATTCCTGATGGCTGGAAAAAAAGAACGTAGTTCGTTGCCCGGGCTGGTCGGCCATGGGGGGGGTGATCAAATTTCGGCCAGGTCACGCCTTGAGCACCGCTCCGGGAGTCACCGGCGGTGTTGTAGAAGCAAAATCAAAGCTGATCACAGGGACGGGGAGAGGAGGACGACGACGACCGCGCAGATGCGGCCTAAACCTGAACACTGCACGTTGCCCTCCTCGTTGCCTCCACGCTGCCAAAACCAAGCCTTAGCCACCTCTGCCCTCAGTGCGGCATGCACCCCGCAGCCTAGCAGCCACCCTAGCAGGCAGGGGTAGGTGATCGATCCACGCTATTTCCACCCAGCCTCAGCCACCTCTGCCCTCAATGCGTGCCTGCACGCCGCAGCGTTGCAGCGACCAATACTGGGAAGGGGGGTTGGGCATGATTGTGCGGGCGAAGGGCCAGGGCGGGTCAGAGCGGTCGCAGCGCATCGAGTTGTCATATTCTCCCCTAGCCTTCACACACTACCGCCGCTGCCATCACTTTCTATATCCTTCCACCCTGAGGTTTCATCATACACTTTACTCCTGCTCCTCCTCCTCCTCCTCCTCCTCCTCCTCCTCCTCCTCCTCCTCCTCCTCTTCCCCCTCCTCTCCCTCCCCCTCTTCCCCCTCCTCCTCCTCCTCCTCCTCCTCCTCCTTCTCCTCCTCCTCCTCCTCCTGCTGCCGAAAGGCCACCAGAAGGAGACACCAAACATCAAAAAAATGAACCCAAATGAAACACACACACAGACACAGACACACACACAGACACACAGGCACACACACACACGCACGCACGCACGCACGCACGCACGCACGCACGCACGCACGCACGCACGCACGCACGCACGCACACACACACACACACACACACACACACACACACACACACACACACACACGCACGCACACACAAAGCCCATCAACGGCTCACCCCTCCCTTCGAGGGACAAGAAGAGCGAGGCACGGCAGGGCTGCTGGGAGGCGTTCCAGGCCGCGAGACCCTCCCCCCTCCTGAAGCTGAAGCTGTTGCGCCTGCCCCTCCGCCTCGTCTCGCTCCTCCTGGTGCTCCACGCACCTCCTTGATCCTCCCCCTTCGCTCCGTCGTTCACACTGGAACGAGCAGGAAAGCACGAGAGATTGACGCAGTCGCATCGAACGTACCGTGGATCATTCAACATGCAATGGGGTGATGGGCTGCTCGAGGGACTTCTGGATCTTACGACTCCTTGCCTGGGTACATCATGTGTTGCTTATTCTCCATGGATCAGAACAACAGCAAGCCTGGTCGGGTCGAAAACGAGCATAACGCTGCTCAGTCCACGAGCCCGGGCCGATCCCTGACCACACTGAACGTCAACAGGCTCTGCTTGAATGTTCGTTCTCGGGAGGAGGGGGGAGCCTGGCCCTCAGAGCGGAGAGGCCGAGACGGGTTTGACTACACCGCGGCAAGTTGGCGACCTTACAACTCAACACGAAGAGCTTCCACCGACGTTACGATCACGCGCCCGCGAGAGCGACCAAGCCTGCCTCCCGAAAGGGCACCGCTCGGCGAGCTAAGCTGGCGATCGAAACGCCCTACATCCGATCGCTCAACAGGCAACACTGAGAGGACGACTCGCCCTGTGAAAGCGGGGAAACACAAAAAAATCACCCTCAGGGCAAGCACCCCCGCAACCGAAGCCTTTTCGTAAACGCCCCACGGCATCGAATAGAGCGGGGCTGTTAGCAAAAGCCCACGACAGCTAAGTCAACGCCAGCTGGGGGGGTCGGGGTGGCTCTTGCCTCGTCGATGTGTGCACCGCTGGGCTACCAGCCGCAAGTCCAAACCTATAAACCAACAATGAATGTTGCAAAGCTCGGCGTCCTGTCGCGGAGCAGACCACCGTGCGAAATCATCTGTCAGCCGCCTTTGCTGTATACGTCCTGCTGATGCGGAGTGAGATGGATACTCAATCGTATGGACAGAACTACCTGTCGAAAAAAATACCCCGGCCCCCCTGGACAACCCCGACCAGACCTCGAGCCAGCCCAAGACAACTCTGGCCATCCCTTTCGGCAAATCCTGATTGGGGCAATTATTTCCAACAGGTACAAGCTTGGAGGATCGAGAAAGGGAGGGTACTACACGAAGATGTGTGGAAGCTATCGCTTGACCCCGATTGGAACGGAACCTGAGGAGTGGACACTTGGCTGCGGTGTGAGATCCTTGCGAAGGTGGCTGCAAAGAGAGGGTCAGCAGGGATAAAGGCATGACAGAGGCACGGTGCCCTGTGAAAGCGATGCGCTGTGGAAAATATCTTGTACTGCAGCCGTCGACTCAGCACCCCTGTCCCGAGGCACAGGAAAAACAAATGCCTACACCTACCCATACGACCACCCTTCGGGTGATAAGGAGGTTCGGGGCGGGGGGGAGGAACCAACGGCTCACTCGATCGGTCTCACTATCGATCTCACTATCGATCTCGCTATCGGTCTCGCTCGATCGATCTCACTCGATCGATCTCACAATCGATCTGATTCGATATATTTCATTCGATCGATCTCACAATCGATTTAACTATCGATCTAACAATCGGTGTCACTATCGATCCCACTATCGATATCACAACCTATTTTACATTCGGTATCACTATCGATCTCACGATCGATATCACAATCGATCTCACAATCAACATTATCATCATCATCATCATCATCATCAGCATCATCGTCATGAACGTCATCAACATCATCATCATCAACATCATCATCAGCATCGGGACACCATCGTCATCATCATCACCTCATCACCATCATCATCATCATCATCATCATCATCACCATCATGACCATCATCATCATCATCATCATCATCATCATCATCATCATCATCATCATCATCATCATCATCGGGACACCCTTATCGTCGAAATCACCATCAACATCATCATCAGCATCATCATACCATCATCATCATCATCATCATCACCACCATCATCATCATCATCACCACCACCACCATCATCATCATCATCATGAACAACATCATCAACATCATCATCATCTGGACACCATCATCATCATCATCATCATCATCAGCAACATCGTCAGCATCAACATCATCATCATCGGGACACCATCACCATCGTCACCATCATCAGCACCATCATCATCATGATCTGGACGCCATCATCATCATCAACATCATCATCATCATCATCGGGTCACCGTCATAAAAAATATCATCATCACCTCATTATCAACAGCATCATCATCAACAGCATCATCACCATCACCATCACCATCAAAATCATCATCATCATCGGGACACCATCAACATCAACATCATCACCATCATCATCATCAACAGCATCATCATAAACCTGATCATCATTATCATCATCATCGGAACACCATCATCATCATCAACATCAGCATCATCATCTCATCATCATCGTCATCAACATCATCATGATCATCAACATCAACATGAGCGGGACACCATCATCACAATCATCATCATCATCAGCAACATCAGCATCATCAACATCATCATCATCGGGACACCATCATCATCACCACCATGGCCATCATCATCATCATCACCATCATCATCATCGGGACACCATCATCGTCACCACCATCATCATCAACATCATCATCACCGGGACACCATCATCATCACCGGACCACCACCATCATCATCATCATCATCATCCCATCATCCTCGTCATCAAAAACAACATCATCAACATCATCATCATCGGGACACCATCATCATCATCACCACCATGGATATCAACACCATAATCAACATCGGGACACCATCATCATCATCATCATCATCATCATCACCATCATCATCATCATCACCACCACCATCATCATCATCATCATCATCATCATCATCATCATCATCATCATCATCATCATCATCATCATCATCATCATCATCATCATCATCATCATCATCATCATCGGGACACCATCATCATCAACATCAGCATCATCATCATCATCATCATCATCGGGCCACCGTTATCAAAACCATCATCATCACCTCATCATCATCCACATCATCAACCATCATCATCACCATCATCATCGGGACACCATTATCATCATCATGAACATCATCATCATCACAGGGACAACATCATCATCATCACCATCATCATCAGCATCATCATCAACCTCATCATCATCATCATCATCATCATTATCATCATCGGGCCACCATCATCAAAATCAGCTTCATCATCATCATCGTCATCCCATCATCTCATCATCATCAACATCATCAGGATCATCAACATCATCATCATCGGGACACCATCATCCTCATCAGCAACATCAGCATTATCACCATCATCATCATCGGGACACCATCATCATCACCACCATGGCCATCATCATCATCATCATCATTAACATCGTCATCATCATGATCATGATCATGATCATGATCATGATCATGATCATGATCATGATCATCATCATCATCATCATCATCATCATCATCATCATCATCATCATCATCATCATCATCGGGACACCGGCGGGACACCGGCGGGACACCGGCGGGACACCGCGCGCCACCGGGCCCCGGACACATTTGGTCCGGCCGCGCCTCAGCCAGGGGCGGGACACTTCTCGCCCGCCCACGCAGCTTCGCCTCGCCCGCACGCACGGCACGCACGAACACGAAACCGAAACCGATTTCCCGGTAGGGGGGCTCTCAGTTCCACTTCGATCTCACCCCCTCACCTCCGACTGAAACAATTAGTTGCAGGCCCACCCGTGACCCTTCCCACAACTCCGCGCATGCTGCCACCTGGAAGTCTCCCCATGTGGCCACCACCCGCAGGCAGCCCAGGCAAATGTGTAAAGGAGAGCATCCTCTATCATGATCTCTGTGCTGGAGAGGGTGAGGTCCACGAAGCCGTACTCGTCGTCGTCGCCATCTGCGTCTGGAATGTTCTCCGAAGTTATACCTCCGCCGCCACCGGACACGATGTAGGTGGTAGGTGCCAACTTCGATTCTGGAGGTGGACTTTATAGATGACGTGCAGTTAGGACAGGAGGGCAGGAGAGGTCTGCTCGGAGACACGGCGCTAGAGATGAACGGCCGATACCGAAGGGTGACCAACTAACTGTCAAAAGCGGCATAAAGAGAGACGAGGGTCAGTCTCGCAACAAACCAGAGCACCAGGGAGACGCGACGCAAAAACAATCAACATCACGACAACATGAAAGCGAGAGTGGCAGCAGCAACGCCTGACATGGATTGATGTCCACCACAAGGCATAGCAACGTCATGGTCTGACAGCGGACAACACAAGCCTCAGTCGGCGGCAGAAGGACATCGCTGGCAGTGACTGGAAAGCGAAAGACACGAACGCATGCCAGCTTCTGGCATGAGGGGGCCATGCCTCCTCCTCTCCTCCTCCGCAATCCAGATGCCCCTTCCGCGCGACACTCCCCTGGAGAGAGGAGGGGAATGAGGAGAGGAGAGGAAACAGAGCAGAAGGGAGGAGTAGGGGGGGAGAGGAGCACGAGGAGAGAAGGACGATGAGAAGGAGGGCGACGGAAGGAGATGAGAGAGGAGGAGGAGGAGGAGGAAGAGGAGGAGGAGGAGGAGCGGAGAAGGAGGAAGAGGGGAAGGAAGGAGGGGAAGGAAAATCACGAAAGGGAGATGGGGGAGAGGGAGAGAGAGACAAGGCGACGATAATCGGAGATGACACGGAGAGGAGGGAAAGGGAGGAGAACGACGACGTCTGCGACGGCGACGATGACGAGAAGAGAAGAGAGGAAATGAAGGAGGAACTGGAGGTGGAATGAGGGAGAAAGGGGCCTGGTGAGAAGGGGAGGAGAAAAGGACGCTCCTGTAAGCAGCTCCTGGCGATGGCGATGCCCCGCCATGATGATATCGATGCCGTGGTCGGAAGAGAGGCGCGCCCACTGGCAGCGGTTCGCAAGTAAGCGGGGGGGCAGATGGGGAGGAGCAGGAGGAGAGAGGGGAGGGAGGGGGGAAGGAAGGAAGAGGAGGGATTCTGGCGGAGGGAGCGAGGAGGGGACCGGGGGGGAGGAGGAGGGGATGATGTACGAAGGCGGTGAAGGAGGGAAGGGGGGGTCGAGGGAATGGGGGGGCGAGGATGGAGGGAGGGAAGGGGAGTCGAGGGAGGGGGGAAGGGGAGGGAGGGTCGAGGGAAGGGGGGGTCGAGGGAATGGGGGGGCGAGGGAGGGAAGGGAGGGAGGCCAGGGGCCCCTCGGCACCGACGAGGAGGGCCCCCGAGGGCCCCAAGGGCGGCGAGGAACGGCGCCAACAAAAGTGCGGCCAGGAGCTTTGGGAGGGCGCGTCGCCGCGGCAGCCCGGGCGGCACGCCGCGCCATGCGGAGCGGCTGGCGCGTCGCTCCGCGCCGCGGGCGGCGGGAGGCTCGGAAGAGCGAGGGACACGGACGCCCGGGGGCCAGGAAGTGGATAGGGGGGGGAGGGGCCCCCTCGGGGCCCCCTCCTGTTTCCCGGCGGAGGGCGCGCGAGGGCGCCACGGGGAGGGAGGGGGGAGGGGGGCGGGGCAGCCAGGAGGCGCGAACAGCGCCCACGCACCGCACCGCTCGAGCGCGGCGGGTGGTGCGCGGCTGCTCGGCTCGGCAGGCCGAGACGACACGCACCGTGCCGTGGGACGAGAGGGAGACAGGCCACGACTGCATGTCCTCCTCGGAGGCGCGCGTCGGACTCGAACCATATGGTATGGCCATCTTGTAGTAGATCGTTTCAAGCGCCCGCCACGATGCATATACTGTAAGGTTTCTCGGTGCGCGCGTCGCCCTGGGGGGGGGGGGCGACGCACATAGTAGTAGTAGTATGTTGGGGTGCCGCCGATACCATTCCTTGAGCAGGGACCGACCGTCCCGGCATTCCTATAGCCCAACCACGAAATTCTCTTAGAACCCAAAACAACACCATAACAAAAACCATGTTCTTACAACAAAAACCCGAAGCGCTAAAGCAAGACAGTCCCCACCAGAAATGCTCCAAGAACATGTCGTGGAAACCACAACAACAAAAAAAAAGCTCTTGGAACATGGCTTGGCAGGCCTCCCAGGCACGCCAGGACGCTCGCCCACTGCCTGCACTCCCGGCACCGAGGCTCGGCGACGCCTCGGGAGGCGTCGACGAGGAGCCGGGTGCCCACGAGCCCTCCGCGGGCGAGGGGCGAGGGCGCCGGCGCCCGACGGGCGGGAGGGGCACGGCACGAGGGCGGGATCGACCAGCACCGGATCGGAGGCCAGGTGCGGGGAGCTTCTGGCCCGGGTCAAAATTGAAGGGGCCCCAGGACACACAAATAAATACACACAAATAAAAATATTCCACATATTTTCCTATATTTTTTGAACTCTTGTCTTCCCCCCCACTTCCCATATTTTCCCATATTTTCCTGGGAGTGGACGATTAATTGTGTCTGTGTTTTTTCCCCCTCCTGAAAAATGCAGACCCGGGTAAGTCGGGCCCTGCAAGATCCTGCAAGATCCTGCAAGATCCTGCACCCAAACCCGGGTCCATGCGAAGGGTCCTGCCAGATCCTGCAGGATCCTGCACCCAGACCCGGGTCAATGCGACCCTGGCGCTGCAGGATCCTGCAAGATCCGGCGCTCTGGCTGACCCCCGTTTGCATTGACCCCTGTCTCGAGGCTCCCGACAGGTCGAGTCGAAGAGCGCGCCTGTGTGGGGCCACACTGGCGCGGAGCCGGGATCGGGTCCGATCGGATCGGCCGCGCCAGGTGATGTACAGCAGGAGCTCGCCCACAAGAGACCTTCCACAGAGAAACTCGACCCCGAGACCCCAGGGCATCCACGGGTTTCCGGCGTGGGAACGTAACGCGGTCCATCGCAGATTCATCGAAACCCAAGAAGTCCAGGGCACCCTGCAGGCAAGCAGGGCATTTCTTGAAGACCGTTTTGTTTTGAATCGGCGATAACCCGGGTTATCCTGGGGGGGGGGGGGATATAGGGCCGGCCGATAACCCAACCCTCGCGCTGTGGGCACCCCTGCACATGCCCGCGCCCCCCCTCCCGCGGACCTGCACAACCGGCAAGGTTGGGTTATCCTGGGGGGGGGAGGGGAGGGGGGAGGGGGTTAGGTTATCCCTGGGGGGGGAGGGGCAAACCCGATATAACCCAGGCTATCGCCCGACCCAGAAGAAACCAGTCTCTTGGCATGGGCTTCCACGGTGCACCTCCGAGGTGTAAGCACGGGGCCGCAGCAGGGCAGATCCCTGCCTGCGAGGACCGGGCCCTGGAGGCAGCTGGGTCCCTGGGCCCGTGAGCTCGGAGCTGCCACCGGCCCTCTCGGCGGGGGCGGCCCAGCGAATTCCTGAACCCCGCATCCCGACTCCGGGGCAAAGTTTGGCCCCTCTTTCCCGAGGGGGTGAGGGAGGGGGCGAACGGAGCGGCCAGGACGCCCAGGATGCTGCCAAGAGGGCCCTCGATGCTCCAAGATAAGAAGGCTGATAGTCCACCCCCATAGTGATCACCCCGACACGCGAAGCTGTTTAGCAAACGCACCCATAAAAGGAATCGAACTGGCCAGGGCTGTTTAGTAAACGCCCAGGGCCGTTTAGTAAACGCAAATTGTCCGGTCTGGGTGGTTTTACCTCCCTTGAAAGATTGCCTCCACGATGGCTCAAGATAGCCGAATATGCTTCATCATTGCCTCCGACGGCAGGTGGTGGCGCAGGCGTTTCCTCGAAGCCCCCCTGCCCCCCTTCGGCGCAAGCTTGAGGTTTCTCGAAATACTTGGTGTGCCCTGGAGGGCATCCGACAGGGGAAAGGGCGTGCTGACCCTCTTTCTGGGCGGGGGGCCATTTCGAGAAACTCCTGCGCAGCCTACCAAACTGACGCCGCGGAGGACTTCCTCAAAATTCGCCGCTTCGGCTGAAGGGGAGTGCGGATCCCCCTCACGGGCGGGACAAAAATTCGAGAAATTCCAAGCTTGCGGCGAAGGGAACACGGGAGAAAATTCGCCGCACCGCAAGGGGGGGGGGGGGGCGAGGGGAAGGGGGGCAAGCCACTCCTTGCGGGCGGAGGCCATTCCGCCGGCGTCGTGAGTTTGCAGGCTGCGCAAGAGTTTCTCGAAAGTCGCCGCGGGGGAGGGGGGCGCGGGCCTGAGGGGAATTACCTAGCGCGCAGTAGATGGGATTATGAAGAAAGCGGCACCCGCGCCGAATTTCGAGAAACTCCCGCGCAGCCTACAGAGTGATGCCGCGGGAGTTTCTCACATGTCGCCGCGGAGGGGGGGAGCTCAGCGCCCAATGGAAAAGATTACGAAGGAATGCCAGCAGCAGCACCCGCGCCGAATTTCGAGGACTCCCGCGCGGACTACAAACTGACGCCGCAGGAGTTTCTCAAATTTCGCCGCGGGGGGGGCGGTGGGAGCTTAGCGCGCGATGAAAAGGTTTACGAGGAAATGCCACCAGCGGCACCCGCGCCGAAATTTGAGAAACTCCCGGGCGTGAGTTCGCAGGCTGCGCAGGAGTTTCTCGACACTCTCCGCATGGGGGGGAGGAAGGGGGCGGCGGCGCGGGCCCCGAGGGAAACACTTCGCCGCGCGGACCGGTCGAGAAACACCCGCGCAGCCTACAAACTGGCGCCGCAAGAGTATCTGGAAATTCGCCGCGGGGGGGGGGGATGGGGGGGAGCGGCCTGGCGGGCGGAGGTCATTTACTGAGTAGCGCCTGCGGCGTCGGTTCGTAGGCTGCGCGGGAATTTCCTGAAATTCGCCGCGGGGGGGAGGGGAGGGACGCGGGCCTGGACGTTGAGGTTTGGCGCGCAAAGGAGGGGAGCATGAGGAAATGCTAGGACTAGGAGCGGCACCCACGCCGAATGTCGAGAAGCACCCGCGCAGCCTACAAACAGGCGCCGCAGAAGTTTCTCGGAATTCGCCGCGGGGGAAAGCGGGGGAGGCGATCTTCCTCTCGGGCGGAGGCCATTTCGAGAAACTTCTTCGGCGTCAGCTCGCAAGGCGCAAAAGTTTCTCGGAAT